GCCCTTTGTAAGTGTATAATTCTGACATCTGAAACCCAATCATCATCAAAACTGGAGGGATTGTAGAGTAGTGTCGGAGGAAGCTTCACTGTATTTTATGTGGTCTCCAGATATATGGGAGCCATTTTATAGCCCAACAAATTGATGAATCAAAAATCGCTACAATTTGTTGATTCGTATTTGTTGGGGCCATTGATTCGTATGACTATGAATTGACGAATTGCCAACTTTTGAACAAATTTGGTGATTCATATTTTTTTAATTCATGCCCATCTCACTGTAAGACGTGCTGAAATTAATATCTTAGACTTTAGGAGACATACCTCTTTTGTTTTTATTTTGTCTATGCTTGCTGCAACAGGCTAATACAGCTCCCTTGAGAATTTGAGTATGAAGCTGCCCCCAGATCTGTACTGAGCAGAGGATTTAAATCCTGGTTTTTCCTGCTTCAAGACCCACTCCTCTGGATGCTCCATCATGACAGCACTCCAATGCAAACATATAAACATTGCAAAACCTTGAAAGCTGTATTTACATTTCCAGATATTTAGAAGCTCTGGCCATTGGATCAGGGACAGCAGCTCTTAGACCAGGAAGGCCATCCATTTGAGGATGATAAAGAAATTATAAAACAGGCCTTGCTTATGGGACAGGCCTGGCTGCTTATTAAGTGCTGTAACGGAGTTAACAGCCATTTGTTCCAAGAGGAAGATATCATGTTCGCCAAGAATATTAGGGACACTGAATTAGCAAAGTTCAGCATGGAATTAAGGAAGTTAAATCATTGAGCACATGAGCGATTGTGAAGTAAGAATGTAACCAACTGGAGTGGCAGAGGGTGATCATTTAGTAAACTACAGGGAAGTATAAAGGGGAGTCAAAAAGCATCAGAGGTTTTTATCAGTTTGGACTTTCTGTGCCTATTTATGAGGAAGGATTGAAAAGTCTGGGCATGTTTAGCCTTAAGAAAAGAAGACTGAGGTGAGATACAATAGTACTCTTCATATATTGGGCAGGTTTGATTTGATTTGTCAGGGACATGATAGCGCTGCGGGTTAAACCGCAGAAGCCTCTGTGCTGCAAGGTCAGAAGACCAAGCAGTTGTAAGATCAAATCCACGCAACGGAGTGAGCCCCTGTTGCTTGTCCCAGTTCCTGCCAACCTAGCGGTTTGAAAGCATGTGAGTAGATAAATAGGTACCACCTCAGTGGGAAGGTAACGGTGTTCCGTTCTAGTCGCGCTGGCCACGTGACCACCGAAACTATTGATGGACAAACGCTGGCTCTACGGCTTGGGAATGGGGATGAGCACTGCCCTCTGGAGCCAGATACGACTGGAAGAAATGTCAAGGGGATTTGGATTGAGTAGAGGTGGCCTTATAGTAGGCTTCCTTCTAATGCTATTGTTCTGTGATTTTATGATTAGCATGGTTTCATGTTTGTGTAGCATGTTTGCGCTGAATAATTGATAGTGGGCTGCTGGGATTGGTAAAAGTGATTCCCCCTTAGATAATGGGGAAAACATAAGGTAAAAAGTGGATGATATATTTTGTGTGTGATTGTGACTTGGCACATAAGCCACTTTAGAAATTGTGTGTCCCTGGTCTGGAACCAACTTTGCAGGCATCGGATTTTGTCCCCACGTTCATCTGAGTATACTGGTCTTGCTCGTTCTGCGCCACTAAATTGCTTCCAACTTCTAGGGGAAGAATTACAGTGGTGCCTCGCTTAACGGGTGCTCCATTTAGCGGTGAAATCACTTAGCGACAACTTTTGCGGAGCATTTTTGCGCTTTGTTTAGCAATAGTCCCTATGGGCGATTTTTGCTTAGCGATGGTTGGGACCATGCTTCGCATAGCGATAAAATTTTGGGTCCCCTGTTTCGCTTAACGATGTTTCCTATGGCGATTTTCACTTAAGGACGGCAATTTGTTCCTATTGGAATGGATTATCCGGTTTTCAATGCATTTCAATGGGAAATCGCGTTTCGCTTAGCGATTAAATCGCTTAGCAGCGATTTTTTCAGAACGAATTAACATCGCTAAGCGAGGCACCACTGTAGTTTATGGCGAAACAGTGCTCATTAGAATCCTTTGATGGTATTCAGATGACCAGACGATGGCGAAATCTATGATCTATAGTTGTAGTAGGGATGTTATTTTTGATGTTTTGTTATTACTGTTAGGTTTTAGTTTTTTGTTCTGTTCTGTTGGTATGTATGAATAAAAATAAGTTTTTTAAAAAATTGCTTCCAACTTCTGGTGTTCCTCATACGTGAGATAGTCAAGGAGCGCGATTCACCAATGCCACACTGAGGTACATCTCAGTGACTGAGCAGGGATTTGAAGCCAGGTGACTTAAGGCCTACTTTGATACTCTCTCTGCTACACCACACTGGTTGTGCAGTTTGACAAACCCTAAATGGCTTTGCACTGAGGGATCTGAAATGAACGTCGTAAAATCTGAGATGCTTGCTGGAGGTTCTGTCACATCTGCCAGCTGCCAGCTCTTGCAATGTTTCCCAACCTTGGGTCCCAAGATGGACTCGGACGAAAACTCACAGAAGCCTCCACCATGAGCTGCGCTGGCCAGGAGTTCTGGGAGTTGTAGGCCAAGAACATCTGGAAACCCAAGGTTGGGAAGCATGTGAGGTGGGGTTTTCTGTGTAGCACCACTTCAACTGGGCAATCCTTTGTGAAGGAGGACAGGTGAGCACCAGCTATATTTTCACCAGTTGCTCAAAACTGTATTGTTTTACCTAGCTGTT